CCCCCACGGTGAGTGCGTGGCTCACTGCCCACTAAGTGTTAGATGAAATGCCCCACGATTGTTGTCTTCCCAATAGCAGCCAATTCCATTCGATTGAGTTACATGCTGTTACTCCTTGGTTTAGCTATCCTTATATGTACATGTTGTTACATAAACCAATTAGTTTTTCCCTGAAGAGATTATGCTACCTACTGATTTGTTGAGGACCTAGTAATCATGGCCCAAAACTGTTTTAAGAACCATTGGTGTTATTTGCATGTTGTCGCAACAAGTTATTCCCTCGAGTCACAGCTAAGTGGCCTTTTGCGCTGTGTGCAGTCTAAGTATTTAAACATTGATCATCAACACCTCTTGATATAGTTAGATTGAATATGTGACAATGATATGAGCATATCTATCTCGAATAGTAGTTGCATAATGTTATGATATCTCTATACTTTGTAATTATTGCAAGCAATGGAAACTAGCGGTCAAAGGTACATGTTAATGACTGTGGACATCTTATTTGTGACGGTAGGGAGTGTTCTATTTGTGTAAGAGTTAGATAAGAATTTCTGCTCTTGCTTAAGCAATGATGGATTCTTGTCAAATGTGTACAGGTATAATCGCTATAGGTAGAGTGTCCATTGATTTTGATGGAATGTATAGCATGCTTAAAAAAGGCATCTATAGATGTTTGTTCTAGAAAAAAAAAAGTTAAAAACAACTTTTAAAATTGGCTGGGCAGCAGCAGCAAGTATGATTACTAAACCACATTGATCTCCGAATAATAAACAGTCCAATTATTGAGGTTTTTTTTATTATGTCAAGGATAAAGAACATTAAATAGATTTAGTTTGGCCATATAACTTGAATAATAACTCTTGTTCAGTGAGTTACCATTACCACTTACCACATGCCTAATTTACTTAAATATATAGGCAACCATGGCATGGAATATAGTGCATGTTGGTCACATGTCTAGGATTTATCGAACCTGGGAAGACTGCTATGCTTAAGTCAATCGCTACCCTGGTAATTTGCACAAAAAATACAACACAGAAGCTAAAGCTTTGAGGGCCTACTATAGTCATCCGGCCTACCTTGCAAACCATGGGCAACCGGCCTACTATGGTCCAATGAATGCAAACCATGGCCATCCGCTGGCACTAGAGATCGAAGAGAAGCCACCCATCGGAGATGTGAAGATTAGAAGAATTGCTCCTTGGTCTTGGAAAGATGTCATGCTTTTATTTATGGCTATGGTCATCGCTTTTCTTATTTGGAAGTTAATGTAGGCTTAGTTTCATAGAACAGTAGGTGGACTTTGTTGTATGTGGTCAATCAAACAATGAATTTGTTCTAGGTGAACATATGCTATTATTTGACTTTATTGTATGTGGACTTATTATTAGACTTTGCATTAAACAGATTATATATATATATGAACATATGCTATTAGTAGTTGTCCGTGGCCAAAACTAACCACGATCGTGTCACAGCCATGACTCATCGTCGCCTGTTACCCCATCGTCGAAGAACAGATCGGCAACAAGAAGCGGCTGATATCGCTGGGATGGGAGAGCCGCATGATCCGATAAACGGTGACGGTGTCAATCATGTCGGTGAGAACGAGCAGCCATGGACCCCGTCCGGCCTGCTCGATCTGGGTCAAAATGACCAAGATGGCCAGGTAACTTTGGTATCATGTGACTATGTAGCCACACACGCTAATCAATTGAGAGGGTCATAGCTTACTTGGTGTCTCTAGCAGGAGCCTCCACCGGTCGAGGAGCCAGAGGGTTCGGGTAGTAGGAAGGCCAGATCCAAGCGAGGCATGTCAAAGATTCCTTTTGGTAGGAATGCACACCGGCACATTACTGAATTCAATGAATTCGGGGATCCACTCTCACCACCTATAGCTTTGACCAAATACAAGACTATCATCGGGTTACTTGTTAGGGACTTCATCCCGATTAAGTACAGGAAGTGGATTAGGAAAGATGATGACCGGCGGAGGGTTCCTGAAAGCAAGAAGGATTACATATGGGATGTCAAGATCCCAGAGTATTTTACTTTCCCAGCCGAGTATGACAGGGAGTTAGTCAAGAAAAAAGAAAAAGAAATCATGGGGACATGCTTCAAGAATTTTAAGGGGACATTTTACAAGAATTTTGTCCTCCAAAATAAAGAGCCAGATTTCGATGGTGGACAGTTTAGCAAGCAGAAGGACTTCTGGCGGGATTTCAAGGAATACAGGTTATCCGAGGAGTACTTAGAACTGAGCAGGAAGTATAAGGAGAATTCGTAGAAAGCGACGAATCCTCATCATCTCGGCTCTCGTGGCTACGCCAAAAAGATGCCAGAATTTGAAGCAGAACTTCAAAAGATGGATCGCCTTGCTGAGGAAGGCATTCAGGTTGAGACCGCCGATTGGGAGCCCAGATCGGTATTATACTGTATGGGGAGAAATGTACGGCACTTCGTGGACGGGAGCTTTAGCTCCTCAAATCAACCCATGAGCGAACACATCCGGAGGATCTCCTAGGTAACTGAGGAAGTGAGGCAATGGACTCGCACTTCTAATAGGGAGAAAGACGTGCTCACCCAAGCCCTCGAAACCAAGGAGCACCCTGGTCGCACTAGAGGAACCGGTGTTGTTCCTTGGAAACTAGCATTCCCCCAAGAATCTAACACTTACCGGAGCCGCTCGAGGGATAGAGCGGAACATGAGGCAGAGTATTTGAGGAGACTAAAAGAGATGGAAGACAGAATGGAAGCACGGATTGAGGCGACCGTTGAAGCGTGAGTCGAGCAAATTTTGTTGTCCAAGGGGCCAGTAGCACCACAAAACCATACTCCTACTGCCTTTAGCCCACAATTTAGGGGTCGCAGCAACTGCGGATCGACCCTGCTCGACGAAGAAGAGGCAAATGTGCCTCATTCGGTGGACAACATCACTGAACCCGTCAATGTCAGGTTATACATCCATCAGGAATGGACAAAGGACAAGGTGGCGCTTGGCTAGGCCTGGCCTGCGGGAGACGGGACAATTAATGGCCACCCAATTTCATTGGGGTACGCTCGCGTCACCATTGATAGAATACTTGATAAGAAGTATAACAAGATACCCATTGAGTACCCCGTAGCGGAAGACAGGCCAAAACTTGGTCAAAACAAGGGCTCTCAAGTGATCTGGCGCAAGCGCTTCATTAAGCTTGACCATCAATTGTCCTCTGATGATGAGGACGACTGCAAGTCTTCGCCCACCCACGATGATCACTCACCATCTCCCAACAGAGATCACTCCCCTCCTCATCCGGAGCCATCACCCCTGAGAAGACAGAGGTCTCCTTCTATTCCTCCTCGTCCGACTCCATCTTCATCAGCCCTGCGAAAAGAGACTCCTCCTCCTCCTCCACCTCCATCTTCATCAGCGCCGGGAAAATAGAATTATCGTCGTCATCCTCCTCCTCCACCTCAGCCCAAAATAAGATCAAGGACATCCTCGTCAGTCGTAGAAAAGGTCCTTGAATTCGGTCGCTAATGCTACCAAAGTGGACCAACAAAAAAGAAAAAGGTCGTTCAGTGGCAGCGTTACCACCTTGATGAAAGCAAAAATTACAGCACACATTTCGAAGGAAGATTGTGTTAGTTTCTTCAATCTCTGTGCCTCACTGCCTTCATTTTTGTTGAAGTCCGAATTCGAAAGGCAAACACAGAATAAATACACTACAACAAGAGATGAAGAAATACACAATAAAGATTTAAGGAACATACAGAAGTACGTCGAAGACAACCCAGGATTAACCATGGAAGAGGCCGCGACCATCTATTATGATGTACAAGGGACAGCAACACCGACAATGAAGTATGAAAGGGGCAATCTTTTGGTTCCCGATCATGAGTATAAAAATCTGACAACATATATGCGCCAGTTACATGAATATTATATGGCTCAAGCAACAGAGACGGACGACTTTGGTTTTGAGGTTATTATCCGATCGCCACATGTTTTCTATTATCCTGAAGAAGAGAAGTTCGATGTCGAGTGGGAGTGCTTGTTCCAGCTATACTAGAAATAGTCTCTCGATGTTCAAATGTTGATGCTGTGGACTATGTAAGTACCTACACGCACGATTTTACAATTAACTACTCTCTCAAGACATAAATTGTTAACTTTTGAGCACTTTCCTTGATTTTATGTAGGTGTATAGCAAAATTTTGCATTCTAAAAAGCAAATGGGATTACATAGGCTTCTTGGACCCCTTGCAAGTCAATGAGAGGACATGTCTAGGCCTCTATGGATGTGACGTGGAAGACCTGAAACAGAGATTGATTGTTGTTTTCGACGAATTCACGATGAAGAAGAAAACCCACATACTTTAGCCTACAACTGCGGGTATGTGTTCTCAGCTTTTAATTTTATGCTTCTTTTTTCGTTAAAATTATTCGATAATTATGATTTTGTGATTGTAGCAACCATTTTGTCTTCATTTATGTCAATCTTGTCAAAAATCTGATCGAGGTGTGGGACTCGAAGAAAAAACCATTTGATCATCTGGATATACTGGTGGCAGTGCTGAATTAGTAAGCGATCCTAATAACATATTATTTTCTAATCACACATACCGCTTTCTAATGTTTCTCTCTTTAATGTTGCTCAGTGTCCGAAGAAGACATATCGGTGGGACACCGGTCCCATTCAAGGTTGTCGAAATAGAGGAGAAGTACCTGTCACAGCCGGCAGGAAATAATGAACGCGGGTTTTATATAATATGGGCAATGCTTCGCTACATCGGCGGGAAATCGGAAGAAGCCGATAACTAGTGATCCAAACACCACCAAAGATTGCGGTCTTATCCTCAAGAAAAACCACATGAAGGGATCTTAAGTGTTGGTCCAGAGGTCAAGATTTTATGTGATTATTTGGACATCAATTACCAAATTAATACAGGTGTAATGTACCAGGTCTGATCCACGACTGCAGATCCGGTCGCAACGCCACGTCGTCACTCACTTTCGCAGGACAGAACCATCACCATGCGCCGAGCATCCAGCAGCCTCCGCACCCACAATCAGAGTTACTCTCATCCAGGAGATGTTGGAACTACAAGCTCACTTGGCTACACTCTTACTCCCAATTACCTTCGAAACGAGATTGTTGCCTGGCTCAGCAGACTTCTCAGTATCCAGATACGACAGCTCCAATTCATCGTGTGTTCTCCAGACTACTGCAAGACATGGCATTGCTTGAGATATATTGCTTGCTCTACGCCTCTCGTCTCTCACCAGGACATGGAGGAGGTGCTTCATAGCTAGCAGGCTCGAGATGAGTGCAAATTGCGGCAAACAGGAAGATGTGGGCTGCTTGCCACCCTCCTCCAACAAGGGTCCAAATGTCGGCATGGAACTGCATGATGTGGACAGTTTAGCAGGACAACACTTGCGGCCAAATCCCTTCCAACCTTGAGCCAACAAACAGCAAAAACACTGCATTTTGCAATATCACTTGATGTGGTGGTCGCTGATGTAGTGAACGCCATCGCAGCTCCTGCAGCGTCTATGCCAGAAATGCCCCCCAACTGGAATGCTAGAGCGGATATGCTTGGGGACTATGAGTGTGGGAGATCTATTCAAGACCCCACTAGCTCAGCATCTCGATACCACGCAACGCCAACCTCCACTTAGCTTGCCACCTACAGACCGGAGAACGCTGCCGGACGCCCATGCATGTTGTTCACTTGTCAAATGTGCGTCGAGTAGTGCCCGCCCACCTCCACTGCAAGACCTATGTGGGCCATGCAATAAGCACAACACAACCTCTGTCGCAAATCAGGCCTAATCCATGATGAAACTAAACTAATCGAGGCTACATTTTACAAAAGTTCATGGCCATGTTTAATATAATTGTATGTGTCTTTTTTCATGGAAATCGTCATCATCATGAGCTGGAGTATTTGGACAATCAGGAATTATGCTATTTTTAGAGGGACAGCTTAGAGCAGTTTAAGGTGCATAAACATCTTCAAACAAGTCTTTGACCTACTGTTGTGGCGTGCAAAGAAGAAATATTTTCCTCAGATTGAATCACGGCTAGAACAGATTGTGTAATATTTCTTATCTTTTTTGTTTCCTTCTTTGTTTCTTGAGCTTTTAGGCCAGCTCTGAAACGTTCCTTTCTTGTTTTCTTGTAACTTGCTTGGATATACTTCAATTAAATTTTTCAGTAGGGCTCCTTGACCCCTCATGTTCCCTTTTTTTTTGTAACTTTCCTGTCACGGCTATCTGCTTTTCTTCTATATCAATAAAAACAAGCATTGTCAGATCCTACATGCATTAAGAAGAAGAGCCCGCCATGCGCCAGATGGGCTAAGAAAGACGATCCAAAACTCATATGTTCGCAACCAATTTGCTCTCCCATAGCCATATTACTCTCCCATAGCAGTTTGCACTAAACATTTCCCCCTTACAATGGAGCAAGCCATATGCTCCTCTTTGATATTTGCAAGCAGCACCCCACGGGCAATTTCTTGTCATAGAAGATAGATCCTCATATGTTCCTCTCTCTCACGAAGTACTCCCATCGCCCCATTTTAAACTGCCGTTTCTTATTTCTCGAGAAGTCAAACGTACTCCATTTTGACCAAATATCTATAAAAAATATTAATATTTATGGTATATAGTTAGTATTATTAGATAGATCGTTGAATCTATATTCATAATAAACTTATTTGAATATATAAATGTTGCTAATATTTTCTACAGATAGCCAAACTTAAGAAAGTTTGACCAACACAAGTACTATAGTGACACTTAATTAAAAAGGGCTAGAGGGAGTACTTAGCTAACCAAGTAGGACTTGAATTATTAACTTTGATCATTTCTGGTCTATCTTCACAAGTACAATTAAATTAATGTTATTTTCCATGATATACATAGATTTGGCTACTAATAGTTGATGTGTCTACACGAGATATATATATGTATGTGGAAAATCAACTGCAACGGCTAAATAACATTCATATATCATATTTAGCCATTCCAACTATTAGTGATAATATGTATGGTAGTGAACTAGTGAAGAATGGTAGTGATATATATTTTCCATTCCAGCTAAATATGTTATGTATGTGGTGAAGCAAGAATCTACGAGCTTGATTTCATCTTCTAGATCTTCTCCTTGCTCATAGTCTACTATATATGGATTCTACTAGTCGATCAATGTCGGGTATAGTATAGTGTAAAATGATTGTTTGAATAAGTAGTGAACGTGAGATTACTAGCAATAAAATACTAGAGTAGGAACAAATAAGATATCAATAACTCCAAATAGGGCACCAATGGACACGTTATGTTTTTAGGGGGAAATAGTACTAATTTTATATTTCTCTGATTTAAAATAAATTAGTTATGATTTTTTTTAGAAAAATAAGCCATTTTCATTTTTTTAGAAATTATAAAAAGTGCCTTTCAATTACGGGTGATCAAAGATTTATTGTTTTAGATTTGTATGACAAAACAAACTCATACAATAGTTGGATGACCAAAACACTTCTCCCTATTTATAAATACACACCATTCAAAGTAATTGCTAGGCGTATTCCTACTGGGTAGCTGAAGTGGTATCCTTGTGTCTTCACCAGCATACTAAAAGGTGGCTCCTAGATGTATTCTCTCTGTCCCAAAATCAATTAACTGTTACAAATATTTGAAGCTGCATTATTTATTTTAATTTGAATCAACTTTATAGAGAAGAATACCAACATCTATTACACCAAATAAATAAACTATAAAAATATATTATGTATCTATTGACATTATATTGATATCATAAATATTGGTGCTCTTTTCTATAAATCCGTTTTAAGATAATTTAACTTTGGACAACTCTAGAAGTTGATTTATTTTGGTATGAGAGAGTACTACATTTGCGCCCACTAGAAAAAAATACTTGTTCCTTTTTACTGCAAGGAAATGCTCAGGGACTCCAATATTGTTTTGACCGCGGTATTGTCATGACGACCCATTCCACTCTTAGACTAAACTAAACTGCCAAGGAGTAAGAGAGAGTTGAAAGGTTTAAGTATTATATATCTTTGGTAGGTAGAAGAATAGGAATCTCCTCCATCCACCAGTCCCCACGTGGAGTTGTGATACATAATACTTCCAAACTAACAAAGAATTAGCACACTGGGCAGGCAATTGATCATCATTCTATACAATTTCCATGCATGACCAGTAATAGTAAATACTCCCTCGGTTCCAGAATGATAATTATAATTCGAACCCGAAAAAATCAACTTATATAAATTTCAACCATATTTATTCAAATTATGAACAAGTTTAGAATATGAAACTTATATTAATGAATTTTTATTCAAAGTGTCTCTGAGGCTATATTAATTCTTAGGAAAATGACAATATATAGTAAGGCAAATTAACGGTCAAAAATTATTTTGTCTGTTTGATCTTATATTTCTATGATCTCATAGTTTTTTTCAGCTTATATATGCTCAGAGAGTGTCCTCCAAAGTCCTTGCACTAGTAAAAAAAGGGCTTCTATTCCCGGCTGCGAACCCTCTTTATTCCCGGTTACGCAGCCGGGAATAGGAGTTCGGGAATAAAGGGTTAGTAGCCGGGAATAGAAGTGGACCTTTAGTCCCGGTTGGTGATACCAACCGGGACTAAAAAGGTAGCCACGCCAGCGCCTGAGCTGGCCCCTTTATTCCCGGTTGGTATTACCAACCGGGACTAAAGGGTCTTTTTTTCTTTTCCTGCTTATTTCAATTGATGATTCTTTTTTGTTTTAATTTGGTTTTTAAATACGCATTATTCGCTGCAAAGTAATATACGTATACGCACGCGTACTGTAAAGTTTTCGCTCGATCAATGCACGCAAGCAACACAAGTAAAAGTAAACTAAAACATAATATGCAATTAGGGTTCCATAGACATTTCATACACATTTCGGGGCGGTGGTGCCTGCGCGGGGCGGCCGGCCAGCGTTGGTGGCCGGGGAGGGTTTAGGGTGGTTTAGGGTTTAGGGTATAAGCCACATGGTATCAAAATATAACACAATTGATTTTTTCCTAAGGAAAAATTATACATGTATACATTAATTGATATATATATACACACATTAATTTCATACATATATACATTAATTGATATATATATACACATTTCATACATACATAATTTCATACATATATACATTAATTGATATAGATATATATACACATTTCATACATATATAATTTCATACATATATACATTAATACACATTTCGTCAATATAATTCATAAATATAATAAACATAATATATATATATATACGGCGGTTTAGAATTAATGGAGTGTTGGCGACGGGCGGTGGTGGACAGCGGCGCTGGATCGAGGCACGGGGGCTCCTGGCCGGGTGCGGCGTCGTCGGGGCTACTCCGGTGAGGTGTGGGTGGGCGTCGGGATGCCCTCCGATGAGGAAGAAGGCGCGGCGTCGGGCCGGGGTGGCCTGAGAAAGCGAAATCGGTGGCGGCGTGGCGCGCGCGGCGTATGGGGCAGCCAGGGGCTCCTCCTTGAGGGGCGCGGCGTCGGGGCTACTCCGGCGAGGTGGGCGGGCGTCGGGGTGCCCTCCTGTGAGGAAGGCGGCGTCGGGGGTGGCCGGGAAGGCGAAATCGGCGACGGCGTGGCGCGCGCGGCGTCGGGGGCGGCCGGGGGCTCCTCGGTGAGGGGCGCGGCGTCGGGGCTACTCCGGCGAGGTGGGCGAGCCTCGGGGTGCCCTCCGGTGAGGAAGGCGGCGTCGGAGGTGGCAGGGGAGGCGAATTGGTGGCGGCGGAGCTCTAGGGACACGCTGAAGACGAAGACAATCGATGGGGAGGAAGAAAGAAGGGAGGCGACGGTATATAGGAGAGGGACCTTTAGTCCCGGCTCCATCTACCGTCCGGGACTAAAGCACCTTTAGTCCCGGCTCCTGCCACCAGCCGGGATTAAATGGGGGACCTTTAGTCTCGGCTGTTGGAAGGAGCCGGGACTAAAGGATTTTTTGACGGGCCACCAAATGCAGCCCACCTTTAGTCCCAGCTGGTGGCAGGAGCCAGGACTAAAGGTGGGCTACATTTTCATTTCCCATCAACTTTTAAGCAGATCAGTTTATTTTATATATGTTTTGTATTTAAATGTTTAAGTCTTATTATTTGCGCAGTAAATTCAATACTAGGCATAATTTTTTTTAGAAAAAGTAATAAACTTTATTTTCATTTACTGCACATAAAAAAAATATGTGACCTAAACTATTGTGTTTTTTATTATAAATGTTGAACATAATGCAACTAATACTCACTATTTTCGTTAATGCAAAAATGTAGACTTTAATTGAAATTATTAAATTTATTGGTTTTCGACAGGAAATTAGTTTTCACGTAATTGTAACGTAAATCTTTAGGTTCTTCATTAATCATTGTATAATTAATCGGTGAGTTCGGGCGGAAATTCAATTAAAGTTCAAAAAGTACCAAACCACCTCAGAAAAATCTCAAACTTGATTG